TTATTTTCGTTAGGACACCTATGTGACAATGTGTTGGCAGTTCTGTTACATAGGCGAAACTAATACAGATATTATTTTAGCTAGTACCCCGTGAAAATTAATACACAATATTAACATATAGTTTAAAGGGTCATCAACTTATCGGTTTTCTGAACCAATTATATAATAGGTACTGCCAAGATAAATTTCTAAGTTCCAGTCTTGAGTTAGTTTTCAAGTTTTGATAAAGGGAACTAGAAGAAAGGATTTGGATACTCGTTTTCATAACACCATTTTTTCTGAGGGATATCAATTCGTCTATTTAGGTATCCCACGAAGAGGCACATTTCAGTGGCTATCTGATTTATTTATTTTTTCTACTTGTTTAACCTACAATCCTTTGTTTATAATTTGAAAACACCTAAATGCAATCGACTTCAAATTTTCAAAGTTGGTTTACTCTATTAAGGAAAAGGTTAAAAAAATTAATTTGAATTAGACTCGTGGGTAACTAGCTTGCGGTTATTTATGGACATCTAAGTTACATTTAATAATGTAACTTAGATGTCCATAAAAAGGAAGTATGATAGAGCAGATATCCTCAGGAACTGTAACTAAAGGCATTTTGTTTAAGATTTTTTCCGTGCAGGTGTCCCGTGATCAAAGTTACGTTGTCCCACTCCGTGCAGGTGTTCCATGATCAAAGTTATGTTGCCCCACTCCGTGCAGGTGTTCCATGATCAAAGTTATGTTGCCCCACTCTGTGCAGGTGTCCCATGATCAAAGTTATGTTGCCACGTGCAGGGCAACAATTATCCCCACCGTGCAGGTGTTCCATGATCAAAGTTATGTTGCCCCACTCCGTGGAGGTGTTCCATGATCAAAGTTATGTTGCCCCACTCCGTGCAGGTGTTCCATGATCAAAGTTATGTTGTCCCACTCTGTGCAGGTGTCCCATGATACAAAGTTATGTTGCCCCACTCCGTGCAGGTGTTCCATGATCAAAGTTATGTTGCCCCACTCCGTGCAGGTGTTCCATGATCAAAGTTATGTTGCCCCACTCTGTGCAGGTGTCCCATGATCAAAGTTATGTTGCCCCACTCCGTGCAGGTGTTCCATGATCAAAGTTATGTTGCCCCACTCCGTGCAGGTGTTCCATGATCAAAGTTATGTTGCCCCACTCCGTGCAGGTGTCCCATGATCAAAGTTATGTTGCCCCACTCCGTGCAGGTGTCCCATGATCAAAGTTATGTTGCCCCACTCCGTGCAGGTGTCCCATGATCTAAGTTATGTTTGTCCCCACTCTGTGCAGGTGTCCATGATCAAAGTTATGTTGCCCCACTCCGTGCAGGTGTCCCATGATCAAAGTTATGTTGCCCCACTCCGTGCAGGTGTCCCATGATCAAAGTTATGTTGTCCCACTCCGTGCAGGTGTCCCATGATCTAAGTTATGTTGCCCCACTACTGATGCTTCGTTTCCGTGCGATAACTTAAGAAAGCCTTTTCTGAACGCCTTCAAATATTCATGTAAGGTGAATTCTGATTAGATTATTGGGATTTTTATCGGTGAATGTAATCCGTTGAACCCCGGGCGGCGGGGGTCAGCACCCCCGCGGCCCGGTCCGTGTGAAGTTTTTGTCCTTTAAACTCACAGTAAATAGAATTAGGTGTCTTAATATTTAATACCTGATGCATTGTGAAGGGAGATCGTAGCTATAAGTTCAGTTTGTATCCGGGAAAATTTGCCAACATACTAAATTACTGAAAAAAATTAGAATAGCCGGAATCTATACGATATCTGCTGACTGCCTCCTCTCATCGGCTTAAAATTTTCAGCTTTGGTGTGTTTTCCAGAGAGGAACTTTCGCATTATTTTTTTTTCATCTCCTTAAGTCTCAATTTGCCAACATTATAAAATAAATAGTGACATTAATTTCCATTCAATAATTAAAGAATACCTCGTCTGACTGGCTTCAAAATATTGAAGCATTCCATACCATGGACGACAGTCTGTAAGTTTAGACTGTGTAGGTACATAATCTGCCTCATTACTGAAATTGTTAAAAAAAAATTGGAATCGTTGGATTCACGTCAATTACTAAAGAATGTCTTTTCTGATACGCTACAAACTGTCTGTGGTGGGTGCAATTGAAAGAAAACAACTTCCACCTTACACTGTTAGTTTTATTAATTGGTTTCCGTGTCATAACTGAAAAATACCTCTTATGGAGGGTTTAAGCACTAAGTGATACTGTATCTCAACTGAGAGTATTTTAATTTCAGTCTAGGATGTGAAGGAATGAATTTACAATTATTTACAAAAGGCATGTCAAACTGAACTTTCTTAAAAAAAAACGCAATATCACGAACACAGGTACAAAAGAGAGGTCTGTAATACCTGCAAATGCAGGTTCCCTTCTGTTCAATTTTATGTTGACTAAAATCATTGGGTTATTATTAGTATTATTACAATCATAACCTTCCGCCGATCACCCAGCGACCGAAATATATCCAGTTATTAGTGTATCAACGGTATACACTACATACAAGGTGATGAAGATCATAAGACCCCAGACCGACGCGTTAGCCACTGGGCTAGCTGGCTACAATAAGATTCATCCAACTAGGTATATTTATACACCATAGTTGGATGAATCTTATTGTAGCCAGCTGGCTCAGTGGCTCACGCGTCGGTCTGGAGTTTTATGACTCTCAGATCGCGGGTTGTATCCCCAATCTGCCTTCGCAGCAAAATGTTTTCTGACAATCGTATAGAGCAGGAAATATTTTGTCACTGGGAAACAGTGAAGTTCATGGCTATGTGATGGGTTCTTTGATTGGACCTTGATGGTGGTGAAGGGTTCTTGATACACGGAAATGGAGCTATATCTATTTTAGGCAACAGGTGTGCTCTTACAGACAAACGACAGGCAGCAGGCGTGTGTCTTCCCAGTTGCTTCAAGCAGCAGGTGTGCATCTTAACACTTGCTTCAAGTAGCAGGTGTGTTTCTCAACACTTGCTTCAAGCAACAGATGTGTTTCTCAACACTTGCTTCAAGCAACAGATGTGTTTCTTAACACTTGCTTCAAGCAACAGATGTGTTTCTACAAATAAGTTTCAGGCAACAGAAGGTCTTTCTGCACGTCTGCCTCGTGGAATATATGTTCGTGACTCACCAAATCATGTGTGTACATGTATACCTGCCTCAGAGAGCAGGTGTATTTCTACTAGTGCATCCGGTAGCACAAGTGTTCTTATATGCAACAGGTGTATTCCTACATACCTGCCTAAATCAACACCTGTATTCTTACACACTTGTCTCTGGCAGCAGACATACTGTATTCTCCATTCATGTCTCAGGCACCAGATGAATCCCTCCACACGTGCCTCAGGCAACATTTGTGGGGTTGTGGAGGTCTGAGTGAGCTCAACCACTCAGAGACTTCACAGACAATGTAATCCCAACCACAAGTCAACTCTCTGCCTGATTATAATTATCACTGAGAGGAACGAGGAATTCATATATCTTCGTTAATGGCATCTGCAGTGGAATGAAGCTGGTTCTATATAATTTGCTAACAAATTTTACCAATGCATATCATAGAGGGCTGGAATGCGTACTCAATTATGCTTATTTCTCTACACAATGCAAGACGTAGAATTTTAAGTTAGAAGACAAGGAAAGTTTACAAATCTCGTTACTATGTGATAAAAAAGCCGTTCGTTTAAAACTCACGCAAAGTGGTCAGGCCACTAATCTTTCTTGCATCTCTTCCTGTCAACCCATGACTTTTTTTTCCTCTCTGCTCTATCTTATCTTCCTGTCTTTCCCCCTCTCCATTTTTATCCTTTCTATGGCCCGACTCCAGAAAAATTAATGCTAAAGCAATAATATTCGTCATGTGAGTATCCTCAGTAAATATATATATATCAAATTTAGAACAAATAAATTGATATGAGCGTATAACAAATGAAAAAAAGGCGAGACACGTCTAGTGGCGCCACTTTATTATTAGACTGTTAAAACAACGGTTCTTTGCATACGGTTTGAGGCGGGGCTGTATAAATATCGTGACGAAGTACGGCTCTGTCATATGTGAGGTTCTTATTTCTATCATAAAAGCAGAATCAACGAAAGGGGGACTCAGACTACTGAGTCAACGTTGATGCTGCTGCCACGGCCAGCCACAGGGCCATTCATGACCTTCTATACCTGGCCTCTGCCATAGAGCCAGCATCACTGAACCGGTCATCTTATTGCAAACTCTTGACAAGCTTTCTTTCCCTGCCCAATAAACTGGTAACAACAAATAGGGTGAAATTAACTTGACACGTGGGTTCTGCTTGCTGATGCATCACTGACTTCTCAGTCAAACTAGAGAAAACCTTATCTTTACACACAAGCCAACAGTCGCTTTTATGCTACCGAGTTAATTTCACAGATCAAGAACTATTTTTCTATTTCAGTTAATGTCAGAATCCCAACTTATCTAAGTTATGAAACACCGTCTAGTATTCCACCCACAAATGTATAGTATATATAAACTGCTCGGGAATCGAACCCAGTTCTTTTCAGTTATTAGCCGAACGATTTAACCAGTGAGCTACTGGTCACCCCTGCAGTTGTCTACACAAAAACTTTGACACTGTGTTTACTAAGACAGCAGTGACACGAGAAGTAACGACACACTGTTTCTTTTTTTATTGTATAAGTAACACATACATAATGGCTTTTTTTGCGTGTCTGAACTCGCTGCCTGTCTTCTTTAAAAAGACCTCTCTGATATTTACCTGCCACCCTCCTGTGTGTGTGTGTGTGTGTGTGTGTGTGTGTGTGTGTGTGTGTGTGTGTGTGTGTGTGTGTGTATGTGTACTCACCTAGTTGTACTCACCTAGTTGAGGTTGCGGGGGTCGAGTCCGAGCTCCTGGCCCCGCCTCTTCACTGATCGCTACTAGGTCAATCTCCCTGAACCGTGAGCTTTATCATACCTCTGCTTAAAGCTATGTATGGATCCTGCCT